TGTGCATGGTGTCAGGCAGCATAGGTGCAGATCCCGGGGGAAGGGGACATGTCCCCCCAATATCTGAAAAACATGAAATGCCCCCCCCCCAAATAAAAAGTCTCTCCTGAATGTAAAACCACATACAACTAATGAGATTTACCTTAAAATTGCAGAAAAAAATTGTCAGTATGGAGATAAACTTTTATATAACGAGCAAAACATTTAATAACGGGCATGTCATTATTGGCATAACATGTAAAATAACAGGCAGGTTATTAATTTACAGATAATTTCTGTAATTTTACTGTTTTTTAATACTATTTTTAAAAAACGGAAAAACTACTGTAAAATTATGATTTTTTTTTGAGTGTTGTGTGCACTCGAAACATCAATATTACTAAAAGCTAGATTTGCTTACTTGGAATGTTAGCAAAAGAAATGCACAAAATCATTTAATTAATTAAATTTAATAAAGAATCCATCAAAAATGTTGGCAAACGGAAATAAAAGCAGGTTCCAAATACAATAGTTGGTTTCTGTTGATGAGTAAATAAAAGCCCTGGTTAATAACTCAAGCTTCCAGCACCGTAATCCAAACAAGCATATAGATCTGCATGTGGTGAACGTAAAGGAAAGCGATGGACAGCAGCAACAGTTTCAATAGTGAAATACATATTTACATGTTTAATAAAACAGTCAATGATAAATTGAATAATTTTTTTTGGTTTATAAAGTCTTTATTTATTGAGACAACAAACACAAATTTGCTAAAGTAACCTGGGGGAAAAGAGAGAACAGTGTAAGCACAAATAAGGACTTAATTAACAAAGTAATGCCAAAAGTAAAATAAGTACAAACAACAAATGAACATTAACTTGAATATACTAAAACAATAAAGATATGGGCGAACACACCTTCCTTCAAAGAGGAGGAAGGTTGCCTCGACCGAAACGTTGCAAACAGGAACCAGAGATCCAAATCCAACTCCCTGAAACTCTCACTCTTGCTCCACTCTCTCCAACTGAAGACGAGCTAAACGCAGTAATCTAACCTCGAGCCTACTACTCCCTCCCTTTGCACCTGAAGTAACACCTGGAACCCTTGGCCGAGGATCCTGCAGCCATCAAACCATGAGATTCTTCAGATGCCAAGGGGTAAACTCCTTTACTAACCAAAGAACCACTTTGAGTTCCCTTGCTAAATGAACTAATACCATAATTCTTGGCAGTCCCACACGTTATTTCTCCCGCACTAATCAAACTGACTCAGAGTAGTACGGCTATGGCTACAGCTTAGCCTAATTACAACACTCACCCACCAAGGCCGATGTGCCAAACACGATAACCTGGATGCCAGATGCCACAAGCAAAACAGGCAAACTCTAACCTTCCTCCAGAGCCAGAGTCCTGAAATGCCAACTTCAGTCAGAGAACTTTGCTCTGAAATATAAAAAAAAAGTGTCCTGTAGAAAGACGGAATGAGAGGAAGTTGTTTAAACACTTATTAAAGTCTAGGTATGGATATGTGGTATGGAAATGTGGCTTTACATTACTTTATGATACAATATGAATAAAGCCCACAGGGAGATTTTGCTTTACAAAATATTTAAAAATAAAATCTGAGGGGTTTTTAACACATTCGTTCAGAAATATATATTCTATCAGGAAGGACTTAAATATAAAGTATTCAAAAGTAATCTCATTCATTCAATCAATTTAAATCCAAATCTTGAAGCCAGCAAACATTTTTAAATGCATGTAAAAACCGTTAGCCCAGTGGCCTCTCAATGCAAAGGTCATGGGTTTGAATCTAGCAGCCAGCTGGGTGGATATAGCATTATACAATAGTTGTATCCATATCAGCATGTATGTAGTCAAATGTATGAATTACAATTTATAATTTAGACTGTGACTCTTTTATTCACTTTAGGCTTCTTATTTAATCTTATAACGCTGACTTAGGGTTCAGTGTGTAACACTGAGGAGGATCTTAAAATGGGAATTGTTGTGTTTTCGTTACCTTAGGATGAGCTGTTTTTATCTACAGAGTGCCTTATGTTGAACCACCATGTTTCTACAGTAGCCCAGAATGGACAAACCAAACACTGACTCTAGATAGGGGCTTATACGCTTTACATGTTCGGTTTTCTGCAATCTGAAACTTCAACACTTGATGGCACTAAATCCAGATTTTTGAGACCAGTTTTGACTCTTTGTCATTCCTAACTTTTCCTACTGCAAAGAAAGCTAGCTTCTACAGGATAAAGACATTTAACATCCTAGAAATGGTATAAATTGTTTTCTAAGAGTAATTCACAGTTTGGACAAAGCGACAACATGTCAGTGTCTTCAGGATGTGCTGTCGTATCTCAGTGGTTCTGATGCCGTAGATGATCGGGTTGAAACAGCTCGGAAAGAACAGGTACATGATGCTAAAGAAAACCCGAACAGCTGAAGGGAGACCGTTTCTGATCCGATACGACAGGAAAGCTGTGAGTATGATGATCAGGCTGACAGTCATGACCACGATGTGGGTGACACAGGTGTGAAGCGCTTTGACACCTGATTTGCCAGAACTCAGCACAGAGCTGAATATGACAATGTAGGAGGCAGTGATAATGATGAAGTCTGCTACAGGGATGAGGAACACAGTCAACAGCCCCACCAGGTTGTTGACAGCAGTGCTTCCACAGGCCAGCTCCACCAAGGCCATGTGCTCACAGAAACAGTGGTTTATTACATTTACAGCACAGAATGAAAGCGGTGCTGCCAGTGCCACTACCAGTGAGATCATGAAGACATTTCTGATCATAAGTGGGATTACTAACTTGAGGAATCTGGGTAAAGCCATGCTTTCATGATAGTAGAGTGGTGTGCAGATGGCAAAGTAGCGGTCTAGTGCCATCCACAGCAGCAGAGTAGACTGAAAAAGTTTCCTAAGAGGTTGAACAAAATAAATCTGAACAGGCAGCCGCTCCAGAGAAATTCCCTCCAGTCAACCAAGAGCTCAGCAAGGGCATGTTGGGGAACAGGTTTCGAAGAAACAGGCGGGAGCTCCAAGGTCAACCACAGGCCAATGCCAGCGATGAGGATGTACATCGGTGAGTGGAGGCTTCTCTGGGAAACGATGACGTACAGCAGCAGGGAGTTGCCCAGCAGTGACACAACAAACATGATGAAGAAAGGGATGAAGAGGACGGGCCTCAGAGCTCCGAGTTCATTGAATCCGTCAAGGATGAAATATTTGTGCGAGGAGACGTTCTCCATCCTCCTCTTCTCTTAAAACCTCCTGGTCCACCGTTTTAGTTCCACCAGCCTGAAAACAGACAAAGATTGACGTTAATCGTTTATTCACTTCTCCACAGCTGCAGATGATGATGTTTCTGTCAAGAACGTTCAAGTTGCACAAAAACACTTCAGAAATGATTGTGTTTGCTGTAAATGCACCCTCTGTAATCCACAAACAAAATAACTTCCTACCGCGTTAATGGACCCTGCTGTCACTGTCAGTACCAGGTTTTTATCTTTATACTTACAGCAAGAACACTGAACAATGACTACATGTTAGTGGCCTTCCCTTATTTATCGTGTTTCATTGTACCATTTTATTAATATATTTTTGTTACTTTATCATAATAAATATTTAATTTTTTATCCCTTGAATGATTTTACTTGTTTTTTTATTTTGTCTTGTTTTCTTAATCTATTATATCTAGTTTTTAATATATAATAACAATTTATTGTTGTAAAGTCTATTTTATTGTATTTGATCGTCTTATTTAATAAAATCTTTATTTATCTCTATTACGGTCCACACTCACTCTGTCTTACTATTGACAGTCATCACTTTGAACTGCACTGACCTGTATGAAAGGTGCAATACAAATAAAGTTAGACTGATTGATTGATTGATTGATTGATTGGTTCCAAGCGGTGTGCCGTAAGAATACAAAAATGTATCAGCTAATTTCCATCGCCTCATTTTAAATTTTGTGACCTGTCAGGTTTAAGTGGCCGTGTTTCATGCGTTATTTTAACGTAAAGTTATTTTATTAATAAATATATCCTGAGTGATCGTCCTCGGCCCAATTATGTTTTGTATTACAGATGTTTTTGCACCAATATGAATACAGGTGCCACTGTGAATTTTGCTTCTTTAAATCATGTCATTATATTTTTGAATTATTAACATAAATAGAAAATATGATTCAAATAAAGACTCAGGCTCTGTAAATACAATATCACAACTACCCGACCCACAGTTTCGGGCAACACAAACATATTTTTTATCTAAAAGCTGTGAGGACACTTTTGGAATCTATACGCAATATAACTTAATATAATGTAATATAACGTAAATAATGTAAAATTCACACATCTGTAATCTGTCACACACACACAGCTGCAGTCACAGATACGCACACAGCTCTCTCTGCAGCAGGCCTCAGGTAGTCTCATAGGAAGAAGGCCTACAGTCACTAACAAATCAGGTTGGGTTCTTATTGTGGGTTAACGTTTGGATCCAGTTTGAGGCTGTTAAACTTCCAACATTAAAAAGTTTCAAACTAATATTTTATACTGAAAAACATTTATGTAAAGTTGAAGGCTTCTCTATTTGCTCACCGTCACTTTCAGCAGTTGAAATGAAAAATGCAGTCCTATGACCATACAGAACATTAATTCTGCAAAACCCAATATTACATTTAATGACAGTGTTTTTACAGCTAAAGGCAACATTTTTTAAATTCTAACTACTCTACAACAAATATTAAGTTACACCACCAAAAACCTCAATACTGTTACTTTGTGATTTGTCAGGGGGAAAACATCATCAGCACTATGAATTATTATCGGAATCAAACCTCATAAAGAGTGGAGCTGGCTCATCTCCCTTTAAGGTGTTTGGCTTTACATCGAAGAGAAAACTGAAAACACACTGAAAGCAATCAAAAGATTTAGCGAGTGGAGCAAAAATAATTACACTTGTTCCCAGTTCAAGTTCCCCTGTTTTAGGACTTTTACAGAGATGTCAGAAATAAAATAGCGCGGTAGGCTCCAGCAACATAGGATACAACAACATTACTCTGGGAAATATCTGAAATTAATCTGAGGGGAATAATTTCCCCCTGCTGTCTAACTGTTTCACTGGTTCTGAAGAGTTAACCCTGATGAGCTGCTGGTGGTTCAGCTCGGTAGAAAATAAATCTGAAGGTTTTACTTGTTGCTGTTTGGGAGTTTGTCTGTAATGCGTCCCATCTGCTGTTGGATGATGTCAGCTGCTGATTCACCTCCATCCACCTGTCCCTGCTGAACCGCTGACTCAGCATTTTAATACACTCCGTCTGACGCTGCCATTGGCTGAAGACAAAGTTCAACACCTCGTCACGCTGTCAGTGTGACAGACTGAAATTCCCAGAGAGCAGCAACATCACACAGTCAAACCAGGAACTAAGTATAGAAAACCTTAGTTTTTAATGCACTGAAAAGCTCAAAACCAATGTTAAAAAAGTGCTTCATGACAAGTCAGTCGTTCTGGAGCACAGCAGGTGTGAACTATGAAGGCTAAGGGGCTGTTCAGATGTTGCATCTAAAAATGAAAAGCACCAGCTGTGCTGCTTCCATCCGTCCATCCAAGGTGCTGGATCAGGTTAGGCTGCATGACAATGATGATGAAGTTGCAGTAATTTAGCATTAAGCCTCCCCTGTCTAATTAAAAGTCAAAACACAGATACATGGATCACCAGCACCATAAAGCTCTCACAGTGGCTTTACTGCTCGATTTATATGAAAAAAGTTGCATTGCAATAAATGTGCACGATGAAATAAACAGTTCAAAACGTATTTGTGCGCACAATAGAGGCTACATCTGAACGGCTACTAAAACTGCTGATTATTTGTGGGAACAGTTTACAAGTCTGTACACACAAATCAATAATTCAAGCCATAAAATGACTAAATTAATCCCTTAAATTATTAAATTATCTCCCTTAAGTAAATAGAATGAATTTATTGTGGCTGAAGGATCTGGAGTTATAGATTGTTGATGTTACTCTGTTCAGTTAACGAAGAACCCTGGGTGTTAGCCACAGGCTAGCAACCAAATTTTCTGTGGGTGTCGTGCCAAATTTGAAAAAAAAAAAAGAAACCTCCATATCTTCGTTCTCTACTCAGCAATTGAAGTGTTCATGGGCTCCCAAACAATGCTTTTGCCTTTTTGGTACTTCAGTGACTCCACAGTTTTGGCTGCAGGCATAAGAGTTCCAATGGGGAAGATGTCCTAAATTATGACAAGACCATGTTAAGGCAGGCATCAATACAGACTAGTGTTGTCACGATAAGACTTAGTTCTTCCGTGGGCGTTTTTCGGCCGCGCCTACTTCCTCCCCGCAGCTTTTGGTCGGCAGCATACACAAAAAGCGTACCAAAAAACGGTTGCCGTCGGGGTGAGCGACATTAGTGCTGAGACTTTTCTAGAGCGTTTTCGCCAGAACGGTTTGCGAGGTAAAATCGGGCCAAAAACGTGTGGTGCCCAAAAAATGAATGGGTGTGTTATGGGAGAGAATGTTCAACTGAAATAACTGCGCGTTTCAGTTAAGTGGAGCGAGGGGAAAAATCTGTCGAAAAATAGTAATTTGTAAACTGGTCTGCTCGAAGCCACAATGGTCCTCTACAGAATGAAGTTTATAGATAGAAACGTTTAGGTAAATCGTTTGAGTTCGCAGTTTTTTTTTTTGTGTTTTTTTTTTTTTTGTTTTTGTGGTCATACCCTGCTGTAAGCTGCAGAAAGATAGTTTTGGCGGGAAACGCACAGCTGCGCCAGCAGACACCCTCTCCTAGCGCCCCAGTCTTCACTCCCATTTATTTGAGGAGGGAGACAATTTTGAAGCTAGCTCGTTGAACCTGTTCTTTCTCAACTCCCGACGGGTCACATTTTTTAGACTAGCCACTGAAAGCTCGGGCGTCTTTGATGGTCGAACAGATGACGGCATGCTCACGGCTCTTTTCGGTTTTCATTTCGGCCGTCGTTCCTGTTTTTTCCTTAGTAGGTTTGTTTGTTGGGGGTGTTCGGTTATGTGGCGAAGGGCCCTCTCAAGGCTTGGTTTCAGGTGCCCTGGTTGGTCTTCCCTGGTTGCCACAACATACCAAGCCTTGCCTGGGTGAAACACAGCATACACGCAGGCACACAGTAGCTGGCGGCCTACCAAGAGGATGGACGAACGGTAATTAATATATGGGCCGAGAGGCCACGACTCAACATTTCTTTAGGAATTTTCTAGTTTACTCAGATATGTTTAAGTTTATGTTTTCCCTATATTGTAATGTAGTATTACTGTTCAGCCTGTCTACTCTGTAGTTCAGGACCAAAAGCGTGCAAAGCGGACAGTGACGCCAAAGGCCGCCGCTGTTTCCGCCCCGCTAAAGTCGGCTTGCTGCCTTTGTCGGCCCTTCGTTCGTTGCCTTCTCAATTTTAAAGGGCTGCAAGGTCTACTCGGATTAAAAAGCCCGGCCGTCAACAGACTGCTGTAGCATTTAGCTACATTCATTTTACCGGGGATCGACCATGGAATGAGGGGGAGAGATTTGTTGCTTTGGGCTGCCTGCCTCTACCTGGAAGACGCCGGCCCGCGACGGTGGTAAATTACTCGGGCTCTCTGCTACGGGAGCTTCGAGGTTAATGATTCATCCATCGCCATGTTCTGGAACAAATGTTGTGGTAGGAAAACCAAGTACGGCCGGGGTTGTTTCACTGACACCACGGTTGACGCGAGGTAGGAGCGTCAGCAGATCTAGAGTTGTGCTCCATGGTTATCTGCGATTGGGCTATGCGCTGCGTTTGTTCGCTCTGCGGTGCGCGTGCATAAAAAGCTTAAAACGGTTGTGTGACTGTAGAGGGGTACTTTGGTACGATTTGAACGTGAAGCGAGGGTAAATGTTCGCACGCGTATGTTATCTAGTACAACTAAAAGTTAAAATTGTGGTAATAAAGCACATGACAGGTACGAGAACATGTGCACAGTTGACGTTCGGACTGTGATGTGGGTGTGATGTTTGGTGGCTACATGCGGTTGAGCATGGAGTT